CCAGACTGTCCTTGCAAAGTTGGAACTGCCCCACTTTATAGAAACATTATGTCCTCTTTTGGAAGGCCAAACAAAGTATTTTCGCTTTCACAATGAAACACACAGCGGCTTGAGTGAGTGGCACCCGGCATATTCGACGAAGGAGGCTTGTGGCAACCACATGTGACGATCCCGGGCTGGACTCCACTTCGTCTACGGTGAAAGCTGTTCCGGCGATCCACAGCGCGAAGTTGATGTATTTCCTCAGGGACCAGCACGGATCAGCTCTAGACATGACGAAGCGGATATCGTCCTCTTTTGGAAGGCCAAACAATGTAGTTTCGCTTTCACAATGAAACACACAGCACCTTCACGACATGGCGGCCGCAACAATACTACAGTGAGAATAAAAGTTACGCCTTCTTTCTTTGCGTGCACATTTGGGCGGCGTTATGCAAATCTTCCCACACAGTGACTTAGACATGTGGGGGCGTGTTTAAACGAGGCGTTTTAGGAGGGCGTGGACAAGTCTTAACTTTTATAAAGAATATCTCTTTGGATTTGAGACTTTAGTCTTTGCAACTTTACAGATCGTCTTTATGCACCAAGAGCTTGTAACACTCCAAAGAGAAAGGAAAAATTTAAATCGCATCATATGACCCCTTTAATATCTTAAAACTTTTATCTTGTTTTTCCACTAACAAATGAGGAAATCTGAGAGTGCAGTGAGACAAAATGCACTCATATTGAAGATACAGTCTCTGAAATCAAATCATAATGTCTTGTGCAATGCTGTTTCTCAATTAAATGTATTTGTTTTAAGGATTTTTAGATTTTCTTTAAAGGGAAGATAAGACAAAAATTGATTTTTTTTGTCTATGCCTGCAAGACAAATATGAAAAACAAGAAAAAAAGTGTTTTTCTTATTAATATTCTGTATAATGCAACAGTTTTCAAAATTAAATCAGTTTTTAACATTAAGTAGTAAATAAAATATATATGACAGTCCAGAAAGATGAATATGGTGGAGGAGAGTGATGGGCGATAGAAATCTTGTTCTCTCTATCCCATTCTGAAGGACAACCCATTGAAAACTTCAGGTGTCTATAATGTTTTTTTTTTTTTTTTTTTTTTCACAAAAACT